AGCTTTTTATCAGACTTTTTTTACCAATATATTGTCAGTAAGTCACTAACCTAACTACTGGAGGCTGTGGTTCACAAAAGCATGATGATGAAATTGAGCTGAATGCCATGCAAATGATCTATACATTTTAATCAGGGCTCCATTATGCCTTCTGTAGCCCTGTTTTCATGTTCTTCACTTGAAGATCATGATGAACTATAAAATATTATATGAAGCTTAGGAAAAAATGCAGAGTTCAGAAACTAGCCCACCAAGACATCAGTTACTCTAGAGCCAATGRTAAAAAACGTGGATTTAGTAAGACAGAATTTATCTATTTGATGTATGGGAACAACACCCCAAATTAAAGTGTCTGAAGCACTAATAATTCACTTCCTTCTTCAAAACATCTTTAGTTGATTGCAAGACTGCATTTTGAAGTGATTCTGTAAGTATTTCTTTAAAGTAACTGTCAGTTTTGCTAGCTATTCTCATCACTAACTTTCTTCTCCCTTGAGCTTATTTCATACTTGATGAAACTATTTTTTAACCAAAATTTTACATGTACAATACAATGTAATTTTTGTCTAAGTATTTAATTTTGCATAAATCAGTTAAATTATAAAGTTCACTACTGCAATTCACCACTATGTATTAAACAAGCATTCTGAATCAAGAGCTGTATCTACAGAATCTGCATAAGTGAGCTTGAAAGGTAAGAAAACTAGACTAATAAAAGATGCTAAAATTTTTAAATGAAGGATGTTATGAATCATCAATGTATATGCTGCTCTAATCTCTAGCTTCAAGTGCTAGACCTTGTATTTAAAGTTCTTAAAATCTCCCCACATTCAAGTGAATTAACATGCAAGTATAATTAACATTTAAGCAATGAAGCTAAGACTGTATTTAATACATTTAATATATTATTAGTTTCCAATGTTCACATTTCCTTCCACTCATAATGAGATACTATCAGTTCCCTGATCAAATCCCACCCAACTCAGACCTTCAAGAATGTTTGTTTTGAAGTTTTGCTGGCATTTACATGTAGGTTATGAAGCCATTTGTCACATTTTATCTTTAGTCCAATACCAAGGACACAAAAAAAAACCCTCAAGCACGAAAAAAGAAGGCCTCCCACTGATTTCACTTGGCCTTTGATCAAACATGGTGCCTATTCATCATGACTGTGGAGTACTGCCCACAGTTCCAAGGCCATAAAAACTCTAAGTAGCAAGGTAGTTTCTTTGTCTCTATGAAGACTGGTGAACACAGATGTACAGACATAAAAGGCTTCGGGGTTTTGACCATGAAATTACTCTTCTGAAATACACTGTTTTTCTTTTCTAAATAGATTTGGTATCCTGTATCCAAGAACCCTTCATACCTTAAAGGATTTAAAAGCTTGAGGGGTTTTTACATCACAGTAACCTGTCAGTAAGTTCCCCAAGCAGCAACCACTAACTGGTCCCTGCCTTCCACAATTTTTGAAGAACATGGAACTGTATATGGAGTATCTCACGAAGTTTAGATTGAACTTTCTGAAATCAAAGGCACCAGAGCAGAGATATCCACTCTGATTTTTCCAAATTTCAGAAGCACTTAGCCTTTGAATTTCCAGCTACTGATGCCTACTACCTCCCACTTTTCGGCTATGGCAATGTGTATTCTTCACATACAAGAAATAAGCGAAATTTTCCCAGGACTATTTATTTTGGGCATAAACGTGAAACATTTTTAGAATCAAAAATATAATACCTTTTCTTAGTTCCTAAGTGTCTGATTCTTAATAAAAGGTACATCCTAAATTCCATTTAGAATTCAACATTAGTGCTAGATGAAATAAACTATAAACACTATTTGACCTGTGGTTTAACATTCATAGCTGTCTTCCCAGTTCTTGGAAGAATATACAGACAGCCCAAAACATGTAACACAACATTTGAGTATCAAGCTTCACTTGGCTGGTGCCTTACGTAACATGCAAGAGTGTGAATTCAGAAGAAAAGGTCCAGTAACCCATACAATGAAATTAACATGCGAAAAGTCACTGGTTGAATGTCTTTACATCTAAAACATAAACATACCATTATTAAATTAGAAAATGCCTATACAAATGCAGCCCTATTTTAACATATAAATAAATTACAAAACTGTCTTCAAATCCCTTATTAAGCATTCCCCAGCAAGCAGTGAACATATGGACTGTTTGGCTGGCTTATCAATACAACTTTGCACATTTACCTTAAAAAATACAGGCATACTAAACACACAGAGTATGACTAGTAAGTGTATCTTATATTTCAATTTCAAAATGAGTACCAACTTGCTTCTCTGATGGGCGTTTCTTAATCAGATAATACCATTTATTATAACTTGGCTTTTATTTCTGTGTCCCTCGTAAAGGCCTTGGGGTGAGCAGGGTTGTTCCTATATCACACATATAAAGATTTAAGGCCAAAACACAGCTGCGCTTGCAGTGTTCAACTCTTTCAAGAATGCATGGTAGCTGGTAAGCATCTTGATATGCTTGGAAGCAATTCCCCATGGATTTGAGCAGCACTTACAAATAAAGAGCATTTATATAAACAAAATCACGTTTCTGATGCTGGAAGCCCAAAAAAGAGAAGCACATTACTACAGAACACTTTGTTCTAGGGTTTGATGACTAGTACATAATTAAGTAGAAATTTCATTAGTTACTTTTACACAGTGACATTTCATTTCATAATATCCCACCCATTTCTACTTTCATGATCTTATACCTTTTTCATCGTTTTTCAAGTCCGGAAATATGTAAGTACTTCACAAAATAGCTTTGACTCCCCACATATCTAAATGTTCCGTCCTTTACATTAAATGAAACAAAACACACCTGAAAAATTAGTGTACAATCAAATTAAAATATAAAACCAAACAAGATTCCATCATGTCTATAGTGGACAATAATAATAYACATTTCCAAGCTTTCACATGTTTTAACTTTGTTATGAACTTTCGTTCTGGACTGTTTGGTTTGTGGTTTGCCGTTTGGTGGGATATTTTCTAAAGAAGGAATCTGGATACAATACAGATGTCCTTCTCTAATAAGACTCCACCGATGAGACAGAACTAAGTGTTTGTCTCCTGTAGGCTGTCTCCTCCTTAAAATTTCACAGGTACAGCAGAAATTTTAACACCAGATGAAAAATACTTCAATTTTTATGTCTTGCTCCAAAAGGAGAAAACTCTCTTCCCAAAGATTACGGGTGATGTAATTAACTTCCTTCTAAATTCACTGTGAAAACTGACAGAATTAAACTGACTAAAATACTTTAAACCTTCCAAATTCTTAAAAAAGCCAAACAACAAAACCAAACGAAAACAACTTCCCCACAAATCAAAAACAGATACCTAATACAGAAAAGGTCTAAAACTTTCAAGCCTGCCAGAAAAACATATGCAGCAAGTTAATACAAACAATTTCAAGCACAAGTTCTATTTATAAAGCATTTCTTCAACCCTAGCTACCCAGTATAATATATGTTTTGTCATCATAGATACAAGTACTGTTTTCTCTCAAACGATGAAAGGAAAAACAAGAGATGGCATCTTTCTCTACAGCGTTATACAGAAGACCAAGTTTTTAACTCAAAAATTGCCAGGTTAGGAAGAGAACATCATGTACATTAGATGGAACTATGTACAACTAAAACAATCAATCACAGGGCACACCTCTGAAATTTAGCTATGTCACTCTCTTTCAGGAAGAACATGGAATGATGCGTTTTAAAACCAGAATTCCAGACATTACTGAGGTTTAAAAAATCAAAGTAGAGCAAAGCACAACACAACTCTTACTCTGTATTTCTGATTCATTGTAATATTTACTKTCTCTTAGTTGCCAAAAGAACAAAAAAAATCATCTTTTTCTCTGCTACAAATTCAAATTAAATGGGCATTATTTCAATATGCTTTGAAGAAAGCTTTTTAATAAATGTGGTGTTTAGTCTTCAACTGTATAATACAGCTGAAAAATATATTAATGCTGATTCTCTGTGTGGAAACATTTATCATTCAGGAGAAAAAAATATTAGCTAAAATATCACATTATAAAAGTGAGTTCATTTAAGATTGCTGAGCTTTCTGAAAAATTACTTTAGGTACATAGCACCATGCTAAAATAAAATTAGTACATCATAAATCCTTCTACCTCCCTCCCTCATTCTTTCTCATAACTGCAGAGAAACACAGTTTTTTAAATTGAAATCAGTAAAAATAATGTTGACTGACTGAACAAGGTATCAAGCTGAGATAAAATGACATTTACAATACAGATTACCTGAAACAAAATTTTAGCTTAGAATCAGAAGGCTGTAATCTTAATAATCTGCACAGGAACTAATAATTTTATCAAAAGAACTTCTGAGATGCAATTAACATTCGTTAATTTTGACTAAGCATTCAACATAATAATTACTTCCAAATGTAACAAACATACTCATTTTAGAACAGTTTTACCAACATGGAGTATTCTTCAGATGGCTACACTTTTTTAGCTCTTAGGAAAATATATCATTCAAGTGTTACAACAAATTATATATTTTAATATGATTCCATATGTTTAAGTCTTTTGCAACATCACATAAAAAGCTGCTGACTTCCCACAGTTCACCAGATCTCAGGAACTAAAATGAAAACTAACTTTCTATGTTATCTTCTAGAATTAACAATAGTATAAATACTGCATATATCCTTTTATTTTATACATTATTCCATATTCCCAGTAAGCACAAAATTTTAAGTTTGATTTATTTAATTCAGCCATGCATTTGAAGAGTAAGACAGGTGGTGGTTAGCTACATATGTCAAATGTTCTCACACTTCAAAAACACTCATCTGAGTGAAGAGCCCAGAGAAACAGGGTCAGCAGCTAGTGGAAAAAATACCACTTTGCATACTGCATAATAGAACTAGTAAAAAGGAATTAAAAAGCAGAATTTCACAAGTACTAAGAATCTCAGTTACATTTACCCTACCTTTATCTGCTGTCTTCTAAGCATTGCAAGTTCCCTCATATCTCGGAATGGTTGCAGTAAGTACTGGTAGAGCTCTGTGGTCGCTTCTGCAAGACTGCTGTAGGCTTCATCTTCCATTTGGTACAGTTCAAGCAATTCTACCATGCTTTCTGTATTCTTATGTTTTTCCAGAAGCTGCAGAAAAAATACATGTTTTGATGAGAAGATTAAAACATCCCTGCTAAAAGTGGAAGTAATTTAATAAACATTTTTTAGGCTACCCTTCTGTATCATCTTCCCCTTCCTGCAAAATCAACAGACAAACAAACAAACTAAACCAAACAAAAAATACTTAGTCCCCAACACACATCTTCGATTTAGCCAGTTAAGTATGAACACATCTCTAATAACTTTAACTGAGCAGCACTCAAACTAATATTTTCATTTCCAAAAACTTCTGGAAAGAGACAAAAATTGAAGTTGTATTTTGAACTTTCTACATTTTTGAGAGTTTTTGGTGTTTGGGTTTTGCAGTTTTTTTGTCAATCTGTTCTCTGGACACAGCTCCACTACTTCCAGTGTGGCCTGAGACACAGAGAGGAATCTATATGAAACAAAGCTTTCCAGAAAGTTTAGTGACTAAATTTCAAATGTGTGAAGATTTCATTAATTTCTTTTTTTTTTTTCTTTTTTTTACAAAGGAAATTACCTAGGCATTACAATCTTTAAAAAAATACTTAGATGTTAGTATAAAAACACTAATTCATTTATGAAAATACAACACTACAGTCTGTCTGTTCCATCTTTTAGTTCTTATGAAACAGTGAATTCACTTGTTTGTACAAAATTTCACTTCTTTGTACAAACTGGCTACAATATATGGGGTGTTTTTTTGTATTACACTAGTTTTGCATCTGTTTTGGGCATTTGCCTGAGTAGACATCACATGCTGCGGGAAACCTTTCACGATTTCTAATAAAAAATATTCAGCTGTTTAATAAAAACTAATCTCATACAGACATGTGTACTTGATGTATTTACAAAAACAAGATTATCTGAAATGAACTCCCTTCTTATATAATTCTCTAAGTCACAGTCTCTTGTCCTTTATACTATCATCTTAAAAGCATATATTCACAGTCCAAGTTTATTTAAACTTAACAAAGATTAGGAACACTGTGGAATAAATACATCCTGTCTTCTATCTGTTCATTAAAGTTACATCCTACGCCTACATGAAATACTCCCTGTATAGTGAACCATGTTTTGGTTACCAGAATGGGTAAGAAAAATTTCTTTCTTCATAAAGGAAAGTTCATTTAGAACATCGCTGCAATTCAACCTTTGAAGCATTAAAGACTGGTCACGGTTAGAGAGAGGATGCAGACCAGAATGCAAAGATGGTTGCTTTATTTACATGTTCAGCGTTAAAGTAACAGTCAGATTCCATGAAAAGACAAGGAAAGCTTTCCCTTACTCAGCCTTAGCAAGAAGAAAGGTCTGTGTGAGGTGGTATAGAACAGATGTGAAACTCCTCAGGCAAACTGTTTTATTACCTAAACAATTTCACACAGACAATTGTTCCCACTGTAAAGTCATTTCCTAAAATACTTTCATCTAGCAGTAGCACACAGTATTTTGTAGCATGTGAGTWTTCACTGAGAACACTACCATTGCATTTGCAGTCTGTAAAAATAGAATTTTATTAATTTTCAGGGTTAGACATCCATAACAGAAGCTGAAACTGCAGAGAACCAGACACTCTTGGATCGTGTCTTAATCCCCTATGAATTTCACAGATTATTCCAACACGCTGTTTGTTTTAACCATCTAGCCTAAGAAGACATCTTCATCCTCAGCTCCACTTCTTGCGACTAGGGTCTAAAAGCAGAGTTGCCATGTACCAGCTTTCTCCTACTTTCCCCACACGTAATCAGAAATCCCTTCGCAGTCCTTATCCCTCCATCAAGATACTAAAACTTTATTCTCAAGCCACCCATTGCAAGAAGGAGCAACTCCACCAGTACATGACAATTTCCTTTTAGATGCTTAGGCTGTTAGGATCTTACTATTAATTAAATTTACACCTTTGTTTCGTTGTGAAACCCTACTACTTTACTAGGATACAAATGAGAATTGGAGAAAATATAGTAATTTAAATATTGTTTAAAGGGTAATCTTAGGTAAATTCATCCCAGGAAGAGAACAATACAATGCAGAGGCTTTTTCTCCTTATTTTCTCTCCATTTTTAAGGCCTATTTAAAACTTCCGATGTTTTGGTAGACGGGCACAACTTTGCACATGCTGGAGTGAAAGTGCCAAGAAATTAAGGACCGTTTAAATTTTATGACTATCAGTACAGACTACTAAACATTTTATGACTAACTGTACAAAGACATCTTAAGGACACTAAAAACTAGTAGCTACTTATAACTAGTTGGCTGTTCAGCAAAAATCATGTCCATCACTGGAAACAGTAGGGATAAATTAATGAATTATCAGTAACATTTCTGTGAGTATAGGAGGTAAGTAAACAGGCATAACTACATGATCTTGTCTGCATCCAGTTCTATTTAGTCTGCTGCTGGGTTACCCAAAACCTAAATCAAATCCTAATCCTTAACTCCTTCAAAAATACCAAACCTTCAATAAAAAGCACAAACACAGAAGTGAAGGCAGGTTATTCACAAGCAATTAGTATAAAATTATGTATATATCTATATATTTTCTTTAACTATTAACACAAACTAAGATTCCATTCTTCCCTAAGGGAATGATGCACGTAGAATCCATTTCCTGCGACTAACAAGGGCTTTCTGAATAAAAATGGTGACAAAATTTCATTTAATCTGCAGTTGCAAAAGAGGATCTAACATGAAAAATTACTCAGAAGCCAAGGAGTATCATCTTGATTTAATGCAAAGCTCAGTGAGCTCTTCAATAGGGGTATTCTTCAAAAAAGGTAAGAAGGTTACCAACCTGAAAGTACTTATTACATACAGCTTCATTATACCCAGCCATCTATTCAGACCCCATTTTCATTAAAAACATTAACCTTGGACATAAAGTTTCAATACTTTAGTCAGCTTTGGGCCTCTCACTACAAGAAAGGCATTAAAGTGCCTTTCATGGAACTGGTGAATTGTCTAGAGAGTAAGTTTTATTAGATTAGCCYAAAGAAATAAAAATATCTGACTCTTTCTGATTAAAAATTGCTGCTCACCCTACCAGCTACCATGTGAGCAGGAAGAAGACACAGGCAAACTAGTGTTCCATATGCAATACACTGGCTACTTTTCTTCCCCTAAGAGAAGAGAGATGGAGGGAAAGACCTACAAAAAACTAAATGAGATTTACAGATATAGCACTTTTCGAATCTGTACTACCGCTAACTTAAAACTCCATTCAAAAAGGTGCATTTTCCTTTCAGCAAAAATCAAATTTTTCCCAAGCTAAGTAGATCAGCTTCCTAGGGAAGTTTTGAACTATATAAGCTAACTATAAAAATCAAATGTAAGTTTATTAGACAAAGGGAATTAAGATGGTATAGCCAATACATACCACTGCCAACCCTTTTCCATTATCTTGCCTAATGCAGGCTGGAGGTTATCGTGGTTAATCCTAAYGGAGTGTTACTCCTTCACTAAATGTACAATTTGTCTTACTGGAGACAGTCTTTTTTAAACTAAAGGTAGTAGCCGTGTCAGGGCTGGTCTCTTCTCCCAAGTAACAAGTGACAGGACAAGAGGAAATAACCTCCAATTGTGCCAGGTTTAGATTGGATAGTAGGAAAAATTTCTTCACAGAAAGAATTGTCAAGCACTGAAACATGCCCAGCAAAGAGGCTCACTCATCAGCCGTGGGGGTATTTAAAAGATGTGCAGATGTAGTACTTAAGGATATGTTTTAGTGATGGGCTTGGCAGTGCTACATTAATGGTTGGACTTGGTGATCTTAAAGGTCTTCTCTGACCTAAATGATTCAATATAAATAGTTTAAAGGAACACAGAACTAATCTCTCTCATATTTTGGAACTGGAGTGAGTACCAATCACCAGGTCTTCTCCAACCCAGTGTGGTATGAACAGAAGACCAACAGCTTTGATTCTACTTCTAGATGGAGCTTTGTAAGCCTAATGAAGAGTCCAGATGCTTTTCTGCTACCAATCTGAAAGGGGCACTGATATAGGAAATAGATGGTGCAAAACTGGCTGCACAGAGCACCTCCAATTATAATGCAGTCCAAAAGAGCTTTCCTGTTCTGGATCAAAGTTAACTGAAGTACATTTTTAGCTGGCTGCCATCCAGACAGTATTCAGACTTCTAGATACCTAGGATGCTGGGACTAGCACAGAATCCACTGAATTAATGTCAAAATGGAAGCCACACCCTCCACAACTCACAAATTGTTTGGTTCTGTATGCTCCTATTTTCACACAGGTTGTATCTAAATGCCAAGTGTCTAGACCAACCTGGCAAATTAAAGTCAGGCAGTTTTCCAAAACACATGAACAATTTTCAGGCCACGTCTTATGCCCCAGTGAAGACTAGCTCTCAGCACAGACATTCAGTGTTCACTTGAATAGTCTCAGTCTGAATTTCTGACTTTCACAATTTTTAAATTACATTATTTAAAGAAGTGGGTGGAGGAGAGTAGAGTAACATCCTGTACAGGCCTGACTAGCTCTATACCAATTGAATGCTGCATTTATTTTAAGAATGGTGTTTCACAGATGTTACATTGTTCACAACTAAATGAATACATATATTTTAGGCAACTATTATGCAGACACACTCTAACCAGCAGAAAACAATTTTTTTTTCAATTTAACAGTCCATATATTTGAACTATACTACGAAGATTATTTCGGTCTTCTGTATTCTTTCTGTTTTGTCCAAAAAGCTATAAAAGCATTACAGCACACTGTAATTATGTGCAGGTTGACCTCAGCTGGGAGCATAATCCAAAGCTTGATTTAATCACTGAAGAGTCAAGTCTTGTATTTCCTTTGCTGTTACTCCTAAAATCTTTCCTATTACTCCTAATTTTTTTTTGTGTATTTTTTAAAACCATTGCAGTATGACACATAATCATTTTTAGGAAAAGCCAGCCATAAAGATATTTTTCAGTACCTTCCTAAGCTCCTTCATACTTCTGAAGTAACTACAGAATATGTTATTGTCCTATAAATTTA